TGTGATTGATAGTATCCTAATCACGAACACGAAGTTTGATGGTCTGCTAAAACTTTTCAGCAAGGAAATTAAAAAAAAAGGGCTCTGTTACCCCCTGGAGTATCAATCTGGGAATCATCATAGTTAATTTCACAGTTCCAGCACCTTTTGAAAGTTCTCCAGGCCTGGAATAAGAGAACCATGTGCACTACCCTGATATTCTGCTGTAACTTGAAAACCAGTGAACATAACTTGATGAAATTTTGTAGTTCTTCTAATGCTTTTGCTATAAGTCTATCCTGAAAATTTCATTAAGATATCTCAATAAACAAATAAGTTGGTATCCGATGGTAGCCTCCCCATTAAAGAACCGGGAACTGCCCCACGTGATAGAAACACACCAGTGATGTGCGAGTATTTGGTTTTTCTTTATTTGCAATAGCTGCGTTGTTGATAGACACTAGGAACAGACAAAAGAAGATAACGTCTTTCAATTGAGACCAAAATAGCCGCACTACTTTGCGCGGTTTTCAGATTCTGCAGCATCGAATATGACCGTTTTTGGGGTGGTTTCGCGAGTGCATATGGTCACTAAACTGACTTAACACCGAATCACTAGACAAATACGCATCACATGGCAATAGCATTTTGGAAACACCTTCTTCAGACCTTATGTATCATTAAAAAAATACTCCAAAAATCAATTTTTCGGCCTTCGAGACTCGTGTCTCCCTTAAATCCTATTGAAACCTCTCCTGTATTGTTTGTTTTCTTTAAAAAAAAGTTTCTTTGATGTTCTGATTTTTTATACAAGTTGGTATTCTGCTTGTTTACCTTCTCCCTACTAGCCTATGGCTATGGGACTAATCAGTGTTGTGAATTTACATGAACTGTATTCGAAACAACCTCAATATATCTTCAATCTTGAAGCGCTTCTCTCTTCCGAATTTGTTGTACATTACTTTCATTTTCTGCACTTTAATTTTAAGACCTACCTTTCTGCTCTCCTTGTCTAAACTCCGTAATCATGAGTTGCAATTCATCCCTTGAGTTGCTTAGCAATGCAATGTTATCGGCGAAGCATGGGCTACTAAAGTATTCTCCATTAACTCTTGTCCTTAACTCTTCCCATTCTAGGCCTCTGAAAACCTCCTGTTCTTTCCAAAAAATCTTTCCAATGCGGTAAACAGCATTGGAAAGATTTTTTCCCTTTGCCTTACACCTTTCTTGATTGGCATTTTGTCGCTTTAATCATGGAGCAGTAAGGTGGCAGTTGATCCACAGTAGATTTTTTCCAGGATCTTTATAAATGCTTCGTCAACACTCTGATTCCACAGTGTCTGCATGACTGCTGATATTTCTACTGAATCAAACGCCCTCTCATAATCTATGAAGGCTATGTATAGTGGTTGGCTGTATTCTGAGTATATCTCTATTACCTGGTTGATAGTATGGATGTGGTCAATTGTTGAGTAGCCTGTTCGAAATCCTGCTTGTTCCTTTGGTTGATTGAATCCTAATGTTGTCTTCATTCTGTTAGCAATTACCTTTGTAAATAGCTTGTATACGACGGAGAACAAGCTGATCAGTCACCATGACCTACCATCTGACAAAACGACATCAGCGATGTTATTGGTGGCTGTGTCAGTCACTTTTGCTGGCATCCTGGTTGGCCCTGAACGGTAATTCCGTGCGTAGACGCAGTCTCCGGGTCTTACGGGCAGCGTGGTTCGAGCTTCACAATCATAAAGAATCTTCTGCTTGAGCTGCTTCAGCAAGACATTAGCTGTCAGCCTGGATGCAGCAACTGTTACAGCAGTCTTTAACTTACGGCCCACGATCAGCTTCACTGGCAAGCACTCGGCAGTTTTCGTGGGGAGTAATCCTGTATTTGAAACGACTACGAGCATGTTGGCATGTACAACTTCCTCCAGCCGATTTCTTTAACTTTGACTTGATGCACTGAACTGCCTGTTCTGCAGCAGCGTTCGATGCTGGATTGCATGGAGGTGTCGGTACTTGTTCGATGCCATCTCGATGCAAAAAGTTTTTGTATTCTTCACTCACGAATGCTGGTCCGTTGTCCGACACCACTACGTCTGGTAATCCATGAGTAGCGAACATGACCTTCAGGTACAGGATACTTGCCTGTGCCGATGGTGTAGATATAGGCAGGGCCTCTATCCACTTTGAAAATGTATCAATGACGATAAGTAAGTAGTAGTTCTTCAGAGGCACAGCCAAGTCAATATGGAGGCGAGACTATGGTCTGTCCGAAAACAGCCATGGCGTCATCCCTACCAGCCGTGCACCCTCTAGTCTTCTTGATAGACCTGACACTGGCGAACTGCAGCTGTAATGTATTCGGCATTGGTCGTTCTGTCCATTGACATTGGTCGTTCTGTCCCCTAGTCTTCCCTATGGGTGAAAACGGCACCAATGCGGAACTGCAATGCATTGCATATGAGAACCACCGGTTTCTTGGGGTCATAATGCGCCAGCACTGCTGCTGAAACAAGTAGCCCCTTGCTCCCTTGGAATTCACTTTCGTGATCTTCACGCCCCTCCCAAGAAACTATGGCAACAAGCAGTTCGTTCAAGTGGTGCAGCACACTAAACAGCCGCGGCACAAACTTGCAGTAGAAGTTGACTAGGCCTAGCTAACTCTGTATTGCCTTGACATCTTCAGGTCCAGGCACCTTCAGCACGGCCCTAACCTTTTAGGGTTAGGTTGAAACCCCACAGCCGTGACAACGTGACCCAGGTATTCAGCTTGTCGTTTCAGAAAGGTAGATTTATACAGCTTAAATTTTAGCCCAGCTTGTTTCAGTCAGCCTAGGACTAGGCCCAGATGTGTTAGATTGTCCTGGTCGTCACGTCCAGTCACAAGAACGTCGTTGAAGTACACCACCATGTTTCTGAGTCATTGAAGCAGGTCTTCCATCTCTGAAAAAATTGAAGGAGCAGATGTGACGCCAAAAGGCAAATGCGTGTATTGGTACAGTCCTTTTGGTATGTTGATTATCACCAGCTTGAGAGATGCCTCGTCCAGTTCAACTTGCAAATACCATCTTTCAAGTCCAATTTGCTGAACATCTCACCACCGCTAAGATGGCTAAACAGGTCTTCAACGCCTTGTATTAAGTATTTTTTGGGCACTGTCACGAGATTAACAGTGACTTTAAAGTCACTACATATCCGAAACTGGCCACTCTGCTTCAAGATGGGTATGATAGGTGCAGCCCATTCTGAAGCCTTAACTGGACACGGCGATCCAACTCGTTCCATGCGCATCAGTTCCTCGTTGACGCGATCGGTCATTGTGAATGGAACAGGCCAAGCCTAGAAGAACCTTGGCTTCACATTGTCTTTAATTGTTACCTTCGCGGACACTCCCTTCAATGTTTCCAAGGTATCGTCAAAAACACTCGCATACTCAGTGATGAGTTCCCTAACCGAAGTGATAGCCTTAACGTCCATCGCATTGTGCAGCTCGATTCCGAGCCTTTTCATCCAGCCACGCCCAATCAGGGACAGGCAGCGTCCTGGAACGACGTAAAACACGTCCCGGCACTCAGGATTTCCCAGTCGTACAGTTGCACGCAGGCTGCCTTTCACTGGGGACAGCTCACCAGTGTAACCTTTCAGCATGATGCTCGACGGTTCCAGTACACGTGACGGAAATGTGCAGTGAAAGGTCTTTTCCGAAACGACAGACACGCTTGCTCCCATGTCGAGTTTCGTAGTGAGTGAAGTTCCATTCATGAACATCTCCACCCGGTATGGACTACCGTCATGATCCGCTGCGTGCACTGGCAACATTTCATAGACTTGCAGTGCCAGCTTTCTTCGTCTATGGTATGGATTGACTAGTTGCTTTCGCGATGAAAACGCTGAACCACTTGTGCTCGTAACTGTAACCGCCTTGCCCATGCGTACTGGCGCCAGGTGCCCCTTGCTTCGACACTTGTGACAGATGCTACTTGTATGTCGACACTGTGTCGCTAGATGCTCGCCTCCGCAGCGGTAACATGACACTGGTTTATGCTTGTGCTTTCCTGTATCAGCTGACAGAGCACGAGAATCTTTATTCGCTGCTTACATCAGAATAACTGTCTTCTTTGGGGTATCAAGGGTCGAATCTGGCGACTCCAGCAGTCATTGCGGCATTGCTTCTTCGTTGATACCTGCCACAATAGGGTCACTCTTTTCAATGGTCGCGGCGAAAAATGCTTGTTCCGAGTGCTGCAACTGAGACAGCAGGTTCCACAGCAATGAATATGTGGCCGGTCCTAAACAGGTAAGAAGTACTGCTCGCATTTTTTTATCTTTATTGTCATAGTCCATGAAAAATTGGTCTACCCGCTCTCGATACTCATGCCAGCTGGTTCTTGCCATGTCGAACAGCTCAAGCTTGCCGACTCCAGGCATTCTCACTGATACACAGTAGAGAACACAGCCCAACAGGGGAAGTTCCAGGCATCACCAGCAGATCACACTTCCATCCTCGTTGCCACTGTCATAGCTGGTCATAGCCAACTGGGGGAGAGCAGCTACAGCGAAACAGTACGCTTAATACCATGAAAAAACACTGCCCTTTATTTCCTATGCACTCAGCTTTTATAGCAGCTTGGTGATGACGTAACACAATGCATATCACATAAACTACAGTCTTCCAGTCCACGTACTCAAGCTTACTGATGACACCAGCAGAAGGAAACCAGGCAAAATCTGGTACTCCTCTGTATATCTTCCATTTTCCTGTGAAGCAGTCAAGTAAATGGGCCAATAGATGTCATAAGCAGTTGGCAGGGGAGTGCAAAAGAGGCATTCGCCCCCTACACGAGCCCCTCCCCCACTCCCCACCCGCTCGGCAGCAGTGGAACATTGGTTTGCATCCCCTAAAACCAAATCCTGTCAATGCTCATGGATGCTGTTGAGCTGTGCATTACAATTAAAAAAAAAAAACTGGTCGCAATCAGTGTCCACAAAAAAAGCCCTAACAAAGCTGTACCACCTACCTCCTGTAGTCCGTGCAATTGCTGGAGGTCCGCTTCAAAGGCTGCGCAGCGCTCCTCCAGCTCTTTTTCCCGCCCGGTCGAACCTGCATTCTTCTGCTGCGATGCCTCAGCCTGGGCCTACGCAATGCAAGGCAAACTCACTCAAAACTAGCCTTGAGCAAGTATTTTGACAAATATTACGGTATGCTTCGGCTTGAATTCAAATTATTTGAAATGTTGAAGAATTCAAAGTGAGGTGCATATTAAAATACAAGTGTAACCCCCTGTGGAGGTGGTTTCAAAGCAGTGCAGCACTGCTATACCGCGAATATACCTCCCAAAGAAAAATGTGTGCTGCCGTGAAGCCCCATTTTAAACCTAAATAAACATATTATTCTCCAAGTTTAAAAGATTGTGATACCAGTTTATTACTCTAAGTGAAGTAAATTTTATGCACAACAAATTGCCACCTCCTCTTTCGCTACCGCCCTGTTTAACTGTCTCTAATTTTCAGCGCAAACCAGGCCTACACTGTTTGAGAAGCTTCAGGACGGCAGTAGATCCTTTTTACAGTTTAGGTTTCAGTTTATTGAGCATTTTCTTTACAAAATTGCGGAAAGAAAAAGCAAGGATGGAAGCAAAAAGCCGCTATGTTAGCAGCTTGACGAGGCTCCTAGCCCTTGTACTTGGCATCAGAGAAACCGCAAGCACAAATATGAAAAAAATTGAACATTGATTTTCAAACTTCAGGAAATCATGAAATAATACCAAACAGCACATTACACATCAGAGTTCCAGGTTTACATAGAAATTACCAGAGCCCATACACACACAAAAAAAATAATAAAACAATGAACAGCACAGAGTCAATCATCAAAGTAGTACGCGTGCTGCTAAGCGGCTAAAAACACTACAAGATTACAAAAAATGTGTACAACATTTAAGTATAGGAAAAATGTAAGTTCTGAAGAGGTACAGTAAAAAACACTGATAAGTTAAATGTTGCATGTTCTACTCTTAAAGAAAAAAAAAAGAACACTTACATAACTAGTAACAACTTAGGAAGACATCCTCATACACATGAGCACTATTGAGGGGTGTTTTCTTTTAGACACAGCGTTCCTGCCAAACAATTAGGAGAAATTAAACCATACACGCTGTCATTCTGTATGAGGAACTTCTCAAGTTGTTTGTTACGTATGTTAAAGATGCCAATGTTTTTATTTTCATGCATGCTAAAACAAGTGGGAATACAGTGCTCAAGTCTTTTTAAACCATGGTTAGTTCGAGAATAAGGTACAAATTAGGAAGGCCTTTGTCTGATGTTGTAATGGAATTGTGTAGCTTTCTTAAGGTTACATAGTTTAAGAAAATAAGCATTGTTTGGCAGCAAGCTTTGTCGTATTTAATTTTAAGATTAAAGCTGCGTATTTGATCAATGGGTAAAATGTTATATACTCTGAATAAATAACCTGTATGTGCATCATGCTGTACTTTTACAGTATGACAAATCACATTTTCCTGCAATAAAAATATTTTATTTCAATTCTCTTTAGATGTATCTGCCCACACGAGACTACAATAGTTTAGGTGAGATGAAAATAACACATTATAGAGTAAAAGTTTGATTTTCTTTGGGAGCATCTGTCAAAATTTAGAGAGTATACCACATGTCTTCCCTATATTTCTAGTTACATTTAAACGTGTACCTCCATTTTAAGATTTTCACTAAAAGTTACTCCTAATGACAGAACTTCTTTTACGACTTCCAAAGACTACGCCCCACCTCTTGAACTTTACAGATTATTCTGGAACCTACATCGCGGCTACCGATAACACTAGAATATTTGATGGCAAGTGTATAAATGCCGACACGCTTCGCCACTTTGTCAGTTGATTGACGGCCGACCCTCTGTTCACCGCTATCAGTGCCAGTGTCTTGCTGTAATCAGACTTTCCTTTTGCGTGGCCACAAGTACGGCGCGAATAAACAGTTTCATCTTCGACCTGAAGTCTGCTCCCTTCATTCACATCACGACACCGTGACATCTAGTGTAGGTGCTGCTTCGTTCATGTACCGGACGCCAAGCCATGAACCCCGCCCACGTCCCAAAGAAGACACTGCCAGCCATGAGCCCTGAACAAGCTGCAGGCAGCAGGGTTTGCCACCGGAATACAGGCTTCTACAAGGCAAGGCCCGAAAGATGAAGGCCATGATATGAACTGCAGCAACGATGACAACTGGTGTACCACAGCCAGTGATCGTAATGCAGCAGCCAAGGGAACCATTGAATTTTCGTGGGTCATCATTTAAGGTCCAGAGACCTGGGTGGAGACCTACGACCGAGTGGCTGCCCTCAATCACTAGGACACAAAAAAGAAGCTCCTTCGCGTCTACTTATATCTGGAAAATACAGCAAGGACTTGTTTCGAGAATCAGAAGTCTGCCCTTCAAACCTGGAATCTCTTACGGGGCACATTCCTGGATACGTTCAGAAGCATTGCCCGCAAGGAAAGAGCCACCACACTGCTGGCGACGAGGGTGCTACTCCCAAACGAAAATGTAAGAATCTTCGTGGAAGAGATGACGCGACCGTTCTACCACTCTGACCCCCGACATGCTTGAGGAGAAAAAAGTTGGTTTCCTCATGCGAGGGTCAAGCAAGAACTCTTCGCTGAACTGCTCTGAAACCCCTCGAAGACCATCCAGGAATTCTTGTCGGAAGCAAGATAAACTGAGAAGATGCTGGTAATGCGAACCCACAAGTACAATCGGCGAGCGATAGGAGACCACCCAGCTCTTCATGCTCTCGGCTCCGACGTCCCTAGCGAAACGATACGAGCGATCGTACGAGAAGAGATGCATAAATTGTTGCCAGCCTCACAGAATCCCGTGAGCTTGATCGCTGAAATTATACGCCAGGAAGTCCAGCAATTTTCTGGACACCTGAACCAGCGCAGCCAGAGCCACAAGCCATAAGGTATGCTGCTGTAGCCAGATGAAATGTTTACCTGTGGCGCCGAGGCCGCGCCGCCGCATTTTTGTCACCAGACACCACCGCCGACGCCATACCATCCAGCCGCCGGCCAGGGCAACGCTCTGAAAATAACCGACATCTGGTGCGCTCCCGTGCACCGGCCCCTTTGCTACCACTGCTTAGAAGCTGGCCACACCTTCCGCCACTGCTAGTACTGCCAAATGGGACTGTGTGGTTTCGCCATCGACGCATCGCATCCACAACGAAGTGAATGACCACGCGACATCACCAACAATCTCGCAGCAGCACAATGGACGCCTCGAGGCTCTTCCCATTCACCATCGCCCAGCCGTTACATGTCGCCTCATTGGCAGTCGAACACTGGCCCGACTAGAAACCGGTCGCCTAGCCCGTACTCGGAAAACTAAAGGCAACAACGGTGGAGGTGCGATTGCTGTACGACGAACTGTCGCAGATCCTCCTCTGCTGACAATGCCGCCGCACAAAACCTCGAGAACGGGCTGCAACGTCAATGTAATCCCGATGTCGAAACGTCACAGCTGGAAGATGACTTTATGGCGCAATGTCAAAGAAGCCGTACCAACCGTCGTAGCCGTGATCCGACGTCATGACAAAACTCGAACGCGAAGTGATGGACTAGGCACCTCGACGTTCTCATCTATGGCCACAGCGTCACAGCTCTCGTCGACGCCGGTGCCGACTATTCCGTCATCAGTGGGACGTTCACCGGGAAGTTGAAAAAAGTTAGGACCACCTAAGAAGGTATCGAAATTCGTGCAGCTGGGGGTCACCTAGTAATGCCGGCAGAAAGTTGCACAACCAGAGTCACCATTAACAGCCAGATTCGTCCCCCAAGCTTCATCGTACCACAGCACTGCTCTAGAAATGTAATCCTTGGCATGAACTTCTTAAGCCTTAATGGCGCTGTTATCGACCTGAGAACAAAGTTGATAACACTATCCACTGAAAAAGTACTGCCGCCGCACACGCTGTCAGGAAGGCACGCCTTAAATCTCCTGGAAGACTGTCGCGATTCCTCCTCGCTCTAGCGTCAGCATTTCCATCGGCACTCAAGAATCAATAGACATGCAAGGCGTCGTTGAAGGTGACCGAAACCTATTGATCAGCCACGAAATTCGCCTTGCGAAAGGAATAACCGAGCTGCAAAGAGGGAACGCAAGAATGATGCTCACGCACCTCAGCAGCGAGTACAAGCACGTGAGCAAAAGCACGATGGTTTTGTACAACGAAGAGATACTGGAAGCCAGCAACGTTTTGCGATCACCAATTCTGCCGGATCTACTTCGACGACTCAAGCCTTTCAACCGGCTTTCAACCTTAATCCAAGCCTTGCGACGCATAGACAAGAGGAGCTCAGAAACCAGCTCCTGCAATACAAAAACTACTGTTCGTCATCGTCAAGAATTCGACAGAACCCTGTCGCGAAACATCGAATCGTAACATAAAAAAATGCCAGACCACTCCCTGAGAACCCGTACAGAGTTTCGACACGAGAACATGAGGCCATAAAGAAACAAGTGGACGAAATGCTACAGGACGACATTATCTAGCCTTCAAAGAGCCCATGGCATCACCGGTAGTGTTAGTAAAGAAATAGGATGGCACACTACGCTTCTGCGTAGACTATCGGCACCTCAACAAGATCACAAAGAAGAATGTATACCCTCTACCATGAATAGACAATGCCCTTGATTGACTCCACAACGCAAAATATTTTTCATTGATGGACCTCAAGACAGCCTACTGAAAAATCGAAGTAGACGAGCGAGACTGAAAAAAGACTGCCTTCATTACACCAGACGGCCTCTTCAAGATCAAGGTCATGCCCTCCGGTCTTTGCTCGGCACCTGTGACGTTCCAGCGTATTATGGACACCGTGCAAACTGGATCAAAGTGGCACAGTTGCCTCGTGTACTTGGGTGATGCCATATTTTCCTCAAGTTTCGACGAGCATCTCAGGTACCTAGAAGCTATACTTCGAGCAATCAAGACTTCCGGACTCACTCTGAAGCCAGAAAAGTGCCGCGTTGTACACGAGGAACTCTTGCTCTTAATACATGTGATAAGCAAGTCTGCAGTACGCCCCGACCCGCAGAAGACAACAGCAATCGCTCAATT